ACACCTCCTGGGTTCAAACGATTCTCGTCCCTCTCAACCTTCCGAGTAGCTGGGATTACAGTCGCCTATCACCACGCTTGGCTAATTTTTAAATTTTTTTGTAGAGACAGGGTTTCGCCATGTTTGCCAGGCTGGTCTCAAACTCCTGACCTCAGGTGATCCACCAGCCTTGGCCTCCTAAAGTGCTGGGATTACAGGCGTGAGCCACCACCCTGGCCTCTATATGCTTTTTTCTATTTAAATCTTTTTTAACTTTTTAAACATTTTTATTAATGACTAAGACACAAATACACACATTAGCTTAGGCCCACATAGGGTCAGGATCATCAGTATCACTGTTTTCCACCTCCATGTCCTGTCCCATGGAAAGGTCTTCAGGGACAATAACATGCATGGGACTGTCATCAGCTATGATAATGCCTTCTTCTGGAATACCTCCTGAAGGACCTGCCAGAGCCTGTTTTACGGCTAACATTTTTTTTTTAAGAGACAGCTTCTAGACTGCCTCCTTGTTTCTGCTTTTGTACTCACAAAGTGATCGTCTGATACAATTCCTGGGAAAGGGTACACTGCATTCATGGTCACAGATAGGGGATACTGTCCACCATTTTATAAATGAATAAATGAGTATTCTAGTTTAGACAGTGCAACAAAGAGTTTTTAGTTCCTGTTGGGTCTTCAAGTGTGATCAACCAACTGTCAACAGTGCCTCTGTGTCTTGGAGAGCCAAGCTACAGGAAGAGTTTGGGAGCGATGATGATGGAGGTGGCAGCTGAAGTGTGGATTTCAGGAGGTTAACCAGGAAGGAGATGAGAAAGAGAAGAGAAGGAAAGAAAGCTAAAGATAACCTTGAAAACTATCAGTGTTCAAGCAACAAGAACTTAAAAAGTGTAATAAAAAGGGGCCAGGCGCCATGGCTCACGCCTATAAATCCCAGCACTTTGGGAGGCCAAGGTGAGAGGATCCCTTGAGGCTAGGAGTTTGAGACCACTCTAGGCAACATTAGCAAGACTCCCATCTCTATAAAAACTTTTTAAAAAATTAGCTGGGCACAGTGGTGCACATCTGTAGGCTTAGCTACACAAAGGCTGAGGCAGGAGGATCACTTGAGCCCAGGAATTGAAGGCTGCAGTGAGCTATGATTATGCCACTGCAGGTCATGCACTCCAGCCTCTATGACAGAGCAAGAACCTGTCTCTTAAAAATAAAAAAGAAAAAGCATAATAAAAAGGAAAGGCGATATAGGTAGGCGAAAAATGTGTGCTAACAAACCAAGGCAGGAGAGAGTTTCAAGAAGGAAATGGTTAACAAGGGTTAAGTGCTGCAGAGACATCATGTAAGAAGTACAATAAATTGTGCAATGATGGAGCAATGATCTCAGAAAAAGGAGATTCAGAAGAGTTTAAGTGCAGAAGCCAGAATGCAGCAGGTTGAATGAGGAAACAATGGCAAGTGGGAGGGTGATGTGTAGCATGGGAGACTCTCTCCAATAATTTTGTTTGAAAAGGAGAAAGGGCTCTGGCTAGAGGCAAAGGGTGGAAGACATGTAAATATGAATTTTAGGCTGGGTGTGGTGGCTCATGCCTGTAATCTCAGCACTTTGGGAGGCTGAGGCAGGTGGATCACCTGAGGTCAGAAATTGGAGACCAGTCTGGCCAACATGGTGAAACCTTGTCTCTATTAAAAATACAGTTAGCCGGCGTGGTGGCAGATGCCTGTAATCCCAGCTACTCGAGAGGCTGAGGCAGGAGAATTGCTTGAACCCAGGAGGTTGCAGTGAGCTGAGATCGTACCATTGCACTCCAGCCTGGGCAACAAGAGCAAAACTGAAGACAGAACAAAAACAGAGTAGAGATAAATGAAGGAGCAAGGTATTCGAAACAAGGTTTGAAAAATTAGCCTTAAAGGAAAAAAAGGTGAGGAGATAACTTTGTTGAAAGTGGCTAAAAGCCAATGAGTTCCTGAGGATAGGTCTGGTTTCCATTTTCCTTTTTTTTTTTTGAGATGGAGTTTTGCTCGTTACCCAGGCTGGAGTGCAATGGAGCGATCTCGGCTCA